ATTACTTAAATTTTCACAATTGATTAGAATTTTATGAAAAATTCGACAAAATTTCCCTAAAAAATTACACTTTCCCCCTATGAATAAAGTATAACAGTACAGTCAACCACATATATTTCCAACTATGATATTCAATAAGATTAAAATGCAATTTAAAAACATTAATCCTCTTATCAAACAAGACTTCCAACTATCTAAAAATTACACCCCATATGAATAAAAGTATAATAGTACATTCAACCACAAATACTTTTTTAATTAATCCTCTTATCAAACAAAACAGCCAACAAAGTAGACATTAAAGACATAAGACCATTTACACAAAATACAAAATTAATAATTAATGGGGATCCATTTTCCAGGCATGTAGTACCCATTAGCTTGGCACCTTTTTATTCTTTATTTAATATATCTATACAACTTTAAATTCTCCTTTTTAATATTGATTAGAAACTCAATATAATTATAAATACCATAATAAAATTACTTAAATTTCACAATTCATTATAAATTTAGAAAAAATTCGATAGAGTTTCTCCTAAAAACACTACTTTCCCCTTGTGAATAATATATAAAAATACATTCAACCACATATAGATCCTTAGCCTACTCATCAATGTACATTAGCATTTTGTCTTTGTCCTTTGTATGATGCATTTTTTTAGCACAGATCACATCAATGAATGATGGATCCCTATGCTCAGGATCTTTTTCTTTCTACAATAACATATATTCAATTATTGTATTAATTCACACAAACATTATAATTAACATTAATTAACATTATTATATAAATTGTGATATGAAGTCTAAAACATAAAGGTAATTAACATTTTTACCAGCTTTTGAACATAATCATTGTAATCCATAGATCCACCTGTGTGAGTTACCTTAAGGCCCTTGGCTCGATTTAGCTTGGCTTGCTCTCTATGCACATTAAACTGCAGGTCCTCCATCCATATGTATTTAAGCTTCTCCCAAACCTCATCAGACATGTATGGCTTTTTTCTGTGAAATATTTCTTTCTACATGATGCTTGGATATCAGTCATCATCCAGTTATATCAATTTTCACAAAAATGCAGAAATGTTGTATGTACAGCACTTTCCTCAGCAGGATCCCATTCGTATCTATTCTGAAATATATATATATATATATGTATATATAAGTATCATATATTTATACATTAATTGAAGAATATAAAAAATGCACATATATAAATTATTTAATAAAACCACAAACCCAAAAAGCCTGCCAGTACACCTCCTTGTGCTCACAAGAAATTGAGCCCCACCCTGTATATGTATCATGCATATTCGACTTAAGGAAGATTGAAATATCCTTTCGAACTTTCTTTGGCAATATCTTCCCATCCCAATTCCCAATGCTTAGCCTTTGGGAAGGATCCTCAGGCAATTTTTGGGCTTTTGCAATACCTCGCCCCTTTTTGGGTTGGGGAGGTGACGGTGCACTAGAGTCAGTATCTGAATTGTTATGTCCACATGTCTCTACTTGGGTCTCACTAACAATAGTACTCGAAGGCCCAATTGCTTGTGATTGATTTTTCCTTATAGGTCTTTGGGGAGCAACATCAACAGCTTTGTCACCCCTACAACCTCCAAGTATGCAATTCACTGTAAAAAAACAATAATTAAGAAATAATACTACATTAATATCTGAATAAAAAATTCATTAGATTTAGACTTAAATAAAATAAAAGCAACCATGAAATTTAAATATACTACTTATACATATTAATAAAGTTCACAGTAAGTTCTCATTTATGTCAAGTTACTAATAATAAAATCACCTAGTGTTATATAATATCACATACATACATTACTAAATAATAATAAATTATATATATTACTAATTAATTAATCACTATTATCACTCTCAGAAATATATTTAATGTTTTCTTCCTCAGATGTATAATAATCTTCAAATTCTTCTTCCTCCTCCTTTTCCTTATCCTCTTCCTCAACTTCTCTATCATCATCCACATCCTCAAATTCTACATTAATGGCAAATACAGTCCCATCAGTATGTTGAATAGGTTCATGTAATATGACATCTATTTGGGTCGGTTGAGGAGCTAGAGGGTCATCATCTTGAAAAATGGATTCTGGATCATCATGTTGTTTTTCTTCTTGCTCATCTAGCATCTCAATAATGCTTCTTGCCCTGCATTTCAATGCAGCAACCCATCCCTTTATAACATAATTATGTGATAGGTATAGAGTGTAATACACCTATTTAGCTTGACTTGCCAAGATGAAAGGTTCATAAGTTCTCAATTTTCTATTTGGATTAATATCAATGAGACGGTATTTTCAATCAACTATAATTCCTTGTGTAAAAGGAATTTCATACCAATCACATTTAAATAAAACAACCGTTGGTCGATGTCTAGAACCAACATATTGAAACTCAATCACTTCTTGCAACAACCCATAGAAATCCAAATTTGATTCTGTTCCTGTGGTTCCCATGGTTCCCGTGACATACACTGCACTATTCAATGTTCTCTTGTTTTTTCCATACGAGGCAGTGTGATATCGAAAACTATTTATCCAAAAACCTTTATAGCATGAAACTATCCAAAAAGGGCCACGAGCCAAACCAATCAAATGCTCATCAATGCCCTCAAACTCATCACGTAAAACCTATATGACATAAGTTATTTTATTAGTTATAAGCATATAATATTAATTAACAACTACTAAAATTAATTTATGATTTAACTTACCGATTTTTCAAACCATGACACAAGATAATTGGAATGTTTCATCTGTATTTGTTGGGGAGTCATATTTTGACATTTTTTTTCTTCGAAAACCCTAATCAAGTATCATTATAATTATGTGTAAATTAAAACAGTTCATTTAATTTCTCAACTTTCATTAAGGATAAGGATTAGAGAAATGCACTCACTCAATCCATCCCTTCAGTTCATCACAATTCATTATAACATAGTACATTACAGCATTACATTCTTCTATTGTCAAAACTCTTTGTTGTTGTAGAGAACCAATTGGTTTTTCATGATTATTGAATATTGAAAGGCCAATATTAACTGGAAGGCCTATGCCAACAAGATTCCTGGGAATGCAATCACCACTTGCCTCAACCTCTCCTTGAAAATAAAGCGAGATATAGTATGTGATCTCACTCATTATGTAATTCTAGCATATTGATCTTTCTAGACGAGCTTTATTTTTCACTGAACTCTTTAATTTATGCATTCGCCTAATTCATGAAAAATAAATTTAAATAATTAATAAATTTAAAAAATATATATTTTATATTATATATAAAATATTAAACAAATTAAGTATTCTAATAATACCTCTCAAATGGATACATCCAATAAAATTGCACTAGTCCCCCCACCTTTGCTTCATATGGAAGGTGAATTGCTAGATGCTCCATCGAATCAGAAAAAGAAGGAGGGTCTTTCAAGTTGGCATATTATTTCTAAAATCTTAATATGCCAAATCTCCATATTTGTAACACGAATGGCTAGAGAACATAATGCCTCCCAAACTTGTTTTGGAAGAAAATCACGGAATGCAATTGGAAAGAGAATTGCATAAATATGTGGCAATCGTGACTCTTCATCCTGCTAACTTTTACCTCTTGCATATTCACACACCAAGAAATGTTGGATGCAAAACCATCAGGAAATTTAAGATTCTTTAGCCATTGGCACACTGATTTTCTCTGCTCCCTATTTAAGACATAAGTGGCATTTGGTTTTTTACCCGCATTAGAGCCTGTTTCTGGTATACAAAGACTTGGCCTATTGCAACACAATTCCATATCCATCCTTACCTTTAAGTTGTCCTTTGTCAATGGGTCATCCATGACGGTGTGAAAGATATTATCAAAAAAAGTTTTTCTAACAGTGCATTACATCAATTATGACGGATTAAGTTTGTGCTCCAATAAGGAAGCTCCCAAAAGATACCCCTTTTAACCCAATTATGCCAATTACCAAACCCTTTGATCACTTGCCTTTGGGATGGCTTCCCAAATAGTATATCGAGCAACTGCTAAATTTGTCGAAACATATCATCACCCGACAATCTCTCTAGTGGAGCAAGATTCTCTACATGACCTTTTTTAAAATCATTCCTATTTCTCCTAAACGGATGATCAAGGGGTAAAAACTGTCAGTGACAATCAAAAAAGGATATCCTCCAACCATTTGGGACGTGGAATGCCTTAGAATTTTCTTGACAATGCGGACATGATAATCTACTATGTGTGCTCCATCCAGATAACATGCCATATCTAAGGAAATCAGTAATTGTCCACATAAGTGCTGCTTTCATAATGAAATGTTGATGCCTAAAGCTATCATATGTCTTGACCCCATTATACCAAAGTTCCTTCAATTCATCAGTCAATGGGCGTAGCATGACATCAATGTTTTTTCTTGGACTATGAGGGCCTTGTTTTATTAGAGAAAGAAAGATGGACTCCGGTTTCATACACATTGATGGAGGTAGGTTGTAAACAGTAAAAAATGCAGGCCAACATGAATATAGGGCTGATGTATGTCCATATGGAGTGAACCCCTTTATGCACAATCCAAGCCTTACATTCCGTGGATCCAACGCAAAGTAAGGGTAGGTGTGGTCAAAGTGTTTCTATGCCTCAGTACCAGTAGAATGAACAATCTTTTCAGATTCACCACAATTAACGTGCCATGTCATGTGCTTAGCAGTTTTTCTACACATGTACAACCTTTTCACTCTAGGTGTAATTGGGAGATACCACAATAACTTCCTTGGTATATGTTGATTTTGTTGCACATGTCCCTCTTTATAACGAGGTTCACCACATACTGGACATGTAATGTAGTTTTTGTTTTCATATTCACCATAATACAAGAAACAGTTATTTACACAAACATTATACTTTGTATACCCTAGGCTGAAGTGCCTCATCATTTTTTTAGCACTATAAAAATCTTTTGGAATCCTATCCTGATCCTCTCGTTTAATCCATCTCATGCTACATTTTAACATATAATCCCAATTAGCCACACTCATATTATAAAGCATCTTTGCATTCATAAAATGAGACACCCATTTGAGTAATGTATCACCCTCATCACATGTAATATCCCAAATCTTCGAGAATATTATTATATAAGTTAAGGACTAACCTGTGAGAAAATATTATTTGGGGCTTGATGGCCAAAGTTGAGGGACTTAAAAGTGAAAGACATTTGGATAAGGATGGCTTATTTTTTTCTTTCTTTCTTTCTTTCTTCAGCCACCCGATTCTGCTCTTTTTCTCCTTCTTTGCGTCCCCTGCAGCTCCCGAAGGCCCCCAGCCAAGCCGACAGCCTCCCATGAAGAAAAACCGGTAGGAAGCCTTAAATTCCTCCTTCTTTCTTGTCCAAGAACAAGATTTAGGAGCTTAGAATTCTCCCCCCTGCAGAGAATTTTCGGATCTGCCTTGCTCTGCTCCTCACCGCCGGCTGCTCCTGCTTTGTGGGGGCGAATTGCCTTGATTTTCTGGTAAGAAACAGCCATGAATCTCCCTTCTCTAGCTTTGAATTGCCTTGGGTTTACCTTGATTCCTCTTGGTTCCTTTAATTTTGGGTAGTTCCGTGAGCTTCCCCCTGCACTTCCCGCCGGCTCTTCCCCAACTGCAGCTCCGATTTTGGCTTGTTAAATTCCGGTATGTGACAGCCCTCCAACCCCGAATTTGTCCATTAATTTGCAGCCTTGAATCTTGAATTTTCTGCCTTTGATTTGCCCTTGTACTTTTCGGGAATTTCTGTTGAAATTGGGGATGAATTTTGGCAGCATTAAGTTATGTTTTAAGCTTGGTTTAGGTAGAGAAATTAGCTTGATTAGTTGCTGTGATTTTTGGAGAGAAAATCTCGTGAATTAGCTAGTGTTTTGGCCAATTTTGGAAGTGCAGTTACTGTTCACGAGCACTATTCACATATTACTGTTCACACACCGAGGGTCAACAATTAATGGGAATTTAAATGATTAGTTTGTGGTATAAGAACGAATTTGGAGATATCTGATAATGTGGAGACTGATAAGAATTAGCATCGTGATTAAGGGTAGTCCTAATGATGATTTCAGTTTGAATTTGTGGTAGTACGGTAATTAATTCTTGGATATTTTGATTAGATTCCCGATCGTTTTGTCAGTTAGCACTGAAATCGAGTCTTCGATTTATGCGAGTGAGTTAAGTAAATTTATGGTAATACCCATACAGTTTTTAAAGCATGTTTTGACTTGTTTTTGAAGTGGTGGTGGGACTAAACCTATTTTATGCAAAAGTAAGTATGATTAATTTGAAGTGAAATTTTATGCTTTTCATTAAATTGAGCATGCCTACTTGAAATTTAATTGATTGTCCTGATGATTTGAAAGTGATTGGTGAATTATGATTTTTCTGTTAACTTCTACCTGTTTTGTCTCCGATGTGGTCATGTTATTAGTGACCCTGCTAGTGGGGATTAAACGCTAGCACACGTCGACATGTTTACTGATATGACCGGTAAATTCTGACGCCTGCCGATGGGCGAACACATTGGTAAATTTCTGGCGCCTACCAATGGGTTGTTATAACACTGGCCATGACCTATAGAGGAGACGTCTATTTCGTTTCCGTACTTGTGCCTGTTTTTCGTGATTATACTTGTTGGCATGCTATAAGTTTAAGAAGGGGCATTCCATATTTTACTTACTGAGTTTATCTCATAGTTTTTCCTTGTCTACCATTTTAGGAAGCAAAACCGAGGACGGGGAACCCACGGGAAGTGACGAGTTAGAAGGCTAGCCATTTCGAGATTGATATAGATTTTAGATATAAATTATGATCTTGTAAGTTAGATTGTATTCGGAGATTTTATGATATCAGAGCAATTATAAAATTTGATCTTCAGATTGTGGTATGATAAGTTCCGAGTCTTATGCATTTGTGGGACCCGTCTCACGAGTGCACGGCATCTATCGCGTCCCCGGATTTGGGTTCTTGGGCGTGACATCACATCCATCATAAAGTGGTGTGTTAGCAACTTGCAAAAGATCAAAAAATTCCTTTGCATCTCTTATTGCCTCTTCAAAGATTGGCTCCTCACTAACTTGTTCATTCATATTATATTCTATACCATGTGAATTCATTGCATCCATAACCATCTCTCTAATTGGATCATTACCTGGTTCTTTCATCACAAAGGGAGCTACATTAAAGGATTCCCCCCATTGATAACATTGTTGTTTTCACACTGATTGCTCTCCGTGTGCAAGCCAAACTATATACCCATTCATGAAACCTTTTTTTGTCAAATAATATAGCACAATAACACGACAATGCCATTCTTGGTTCATATATTTAGTGCAAGGACATCTAATTCGACTTGTACTACAAAATTCTAGATTGGACTAAGAAAATACAATATCCAAAAAGGACTCCACACCAAATTTGAATTCATCAGTAAAACAAGCATTATCATCTATACGATGATACATCCAACTTTGATCTCCTATTATGTGAAATATTTTCTTAAATTTAAATTTATATTTCCACACAAATAATAATACATCAAATGTAATTAATTATAAACATATTTTATAAACTAAAATTACAAATTAATATAATTAAAGTTATCATAATTTAACAATCAATTAATATCATTATAATCATAATTAAGTAATTAATTATAATTTATTTATCAATTAAATAATGTATTTATAATTTATTAATCAATCTATTAATGACTATAATCATAATTTTATAAGTAATGTATTAATTAATTATAATTTACTAATCAATTAATTAATTAAATTAATTACAATTTATTTATCAATTAAATAATATAATTATAATTTATTAATCAATCAAATAATTACTATAATCAAAATTTTATAAT